GAAGAAGGAGGGGGAACAGAACTGCGTGAGTCAAACTTCTGTGTATTTACATAAGAAGGAGATTACTTTCATGGACACGTGTTGATGCGAGTGTGTTTTTTGTGGGTGTTTTCTTCGTTGGGTCCTTTTCAATAAATATTCAGTTGTCAGTTCAGCGCTCGTCCTGTGTACTCCTTTTCCTCCCGTCCTTGTCGTTTGCGCGCTGTTTCCATTATTTCTAAGAGAATAAGAAAGCAGAAGGAAAGTTACGTCTGCTGCGAGAATGACCGGGAATCTCCTAGACGACCGTGACCAAGCGTTGCCCTCTCGGCTCTGCGGGCGGCAATATTGATCCTCAATCCTTCGCTGGGACTGGTCAGGTATCCTTTGTCGTTTTGGTGATAAAACTTTGAATTTGATTTTAGACATATTAGCGAGATTATGATGATGTAAAGAAATGATTTTTTTTTTAATAGGGACAATTCAGAAATATTTATAAGAAAAATGAATTCGCTTTAGCTTCTTCCGCCATATTGTCTCAGAAAGGTTGATAGAAACAGAGCGTGGAGACTCCCGAGTTGTCTGAAGATTGCTTTGTATCTAGTAAGACTGCGGGACTCGCCGATATCAATGCCAAGGGACGAATAACCAAGGAAGCATCATAACTGGCACTGTGTCCCTAAAGCTGCTCCTTTCTATAATATACAATGTCTTCTTCCAGAAAATCCCCTGGACGGCCGACATCACAGTCACCGGATGGTTCGCGGTTCGATACGAGAAGCGAGTCAATGGCGCATTCCTGTGGTACTACCACGTGACAAAACTGCGGGATCCGTTTTTTAAGCGCGTCGAACGGGGGGTGATGCAGTTCACCACCAATGGAACCTTCTCGAGCGTCTACGGCGTCGACGCTCACCTCAGAGTGTCCGAATACGCGCTCATGGACAAGAACGGGGAACCCTGGGTAATCACCAACCGCACACTACCTTTAAAGGCAGGCCAAGAAAACGTCACTGCCCTTTAATAAATTGTTTTCTTTGTGAAAAGTCCACGATCCTTATTTTTTGAGTCTTGGACAAGTTATTCAACGCATGACGTGGCTTTTACAGCGATAGCGCCCCCCCCCCCTCCCCTTATGGGTATGATGATGATGTTGAGCGTTTGTCGTCAATGTTGTCAAGCGACACCGTGACGTCATAAAGTCCCGGAACGTCATTACGTTATATGACGTCATGGTGTAACGTAACGTTGGTGTGCTTACTTGAAGTCATATCGCCACGTAGCCATGACTTGTCACGTGACTCTATGACTTCACGCTGTCACGTGACATCGTAGTGTCACTTGACGTAAAGATGCCACGTGATGGTACAATAACTGATGACGTCAAAATTGTTGTGATGTGATGTGACGTCATCGTGTCACGTGATGTCATGATGTCAGCAGCATGCTGATACTTGGCCAGTGTCGTACTAGTGTCGTCCATTAATCGGTCCAAATACCGGCCCAATGTCCAGCTAAAGTTGAGGCTTGGGCGAGTTGGTATATCCTTCGGAATTAAAAACAGCGCGGAAAGTCGAGGAGCAAAGAGTGACAGGGACGTACGCTGTTGTGATCCATCACCAATAAAAATAATAAATAAATAAATAAATATATATATATATATATATATATATATATAAAAATGCGCCATGACACAGCCGTACAGAGTACAGAGCGCGACACTGTTAGCGCGAACAAGCCATCGCCGGTTTTTCCAGTTTTTCTCTTTGAAACCAAGGGATGTCACCCAAATTAATATTGGTACGGAAAGATCTCATTTAGTTCTATTATGTAAGCAATAAAAGTTCGTGCTCGCTAATACTATTGAGAAGTAAAAGGCGAAAATGCGCCGATGTCGTGTTCGCGCTAACAGTGTCGCGATGTGTACGTGCTAAAAAACAAGCAAGTCGGAAAACCAGAAAATTCATCTCTCTGCCAGATAGGGCCACAGAAGGACTGCTTACGCATGCTGCAGCCAACCTCGCTATCTCAACAGCCTCTAGAATTTCCCGAATAAGCTGGTCCCTGTGACGCTTAACAACCCCACACCGTTGGAAGCCAGGTAGGCAACCACAGTCGCGGCAATGAATGCCCAGATGACCAGACACGGCTGAGGAGAAACCTTTATGCGTGCTCTCTTAACCTGTCATTGAGACAGCGGCCCGCCTGGCCAACGTAGCGCCTGCCACACGTGAGAGGGAGAGAATAAACAGCCCCCTCAGAACGCATATACACACATCGAATCCGACAATCGCCGCTATTTACGACACTGCACTTCGCCTGTACCGACATCGAACGTCCGAGCCAGTATACGCTGGGTTCCCGGACATGCGGGCATTGCCGGCAACGAGAAGGCCTACAAGGCTGCGTTGGAGGAGCTGTTTAGAGATTTCCCCTTTTCCCATAGGACCTTACCTGTGTCTCCCACGTCGCCCAACGATAATCAGTTTCCCGAGGACGAAGCCTACATGTACAACCCAGTCGATGCTGTTCGCATCGTCCTTCGGGACAGGAAACGCCAACTCGACGACTCTTGGACCACAGAACAGTTCAAAATACCCGAACACACGTTCCGTATTCACCAGATGGCTCTGCTTCGACGCATTAGGAAAGGTGGAGCGGTCACGCTTTATCACGTCTATCGCTTCGAGCTGACCCGGCAATGTAAACTTGATCCTTACTATGTCCAACCAGACCCTCGCTGCCAGCGATACAAAGACCCAGACTCCCTACCGAAACTTCACCATCTCATTTGGGAGTGCGCAGCTTTGTTTGCCCAGCGTCAAAACCAGCCTGGGCTACTCTTCTTCCAAAAGACCTTCCGACGACCATGCAAGGATGGGCCCATCCCGCCGGCGACTCCGAGCGCCGGACGAGGGTCCTGACTTCCCTCCTCAGCTTTGTGCGGCGGAGCGGACTTGGGCCATCGTTATGATGATACACGTCATCATCACACGCCGCCAAGGACGTAGACGGCCCGCTTGAGAGCGACCACTCCGCGTCGATCCCTTGGGCCGGGGTCGCGCTGCTCGTGCACCGTGCAGGGGGCGGTTTGCGGACGTGAGTCGCCACGGTGGTCGTAATTCGGGTGGCGCGTGCCGAGCTTCTCTTTGAACCTGTTGTCCCGCCCCATTCGGGGCACGGTTTTTGCGGTGGCTCGCGATCCAATATATCTGGAGACTGTCTTTTCTGTAGTGTCTGACCGGTGTGGCCCCCGCTTTGGGGACTGGCGTTTTTCCCAGGTTTAAATAAACGTTGTCTTCACCTCATTTGTTTCTGTAGCATCGAGATGTTCTGAAAATCTTGGTTCACAATGAAGTAGAATTTTTTGTGCAACCTCAACTGAGTCATCGCGAAGTAAAAGTTGAATAATCAGCATCAGTTTTTTTTTTTTTATTTATGTAGCCGCTTGGGTGTGGAACACAAGCGAATGAAGAAACGTCATGAAGCCACGAAGGCAGTGCTAGTCCACCTATCTAGCAGAAGCACATCCACGGCGTTCCCTTCGCTAATCAACGCTCGTTGAAATTAATCGTTCAAACTGGCATCTCGCACCCTCCTTCCCCTCTAAGTCGTTCCCCCTCCAATGTTTTCCACCGGACTAGCGAGGCGAGATTGCGCGAACGACTACCTAAGGAGGAGCAAATTGGACGATCCCACATCGGCTTCTTCCCGAAGTGAGTAATGGCGCGTGTTGCTTCGCGTTTTATCCAATAGTACTGTAGGAATATGTAGCGTGACTACATTGTCAAGCCCTGAGTTGAGTAGAGATCACGTGATATCTCTTGATTTTCTACCTTGGCGCAGAGCAGCCCTAGAGATAGGAAACGGTGTGATCGGGTGCGTTTGCGAAAAACAGACGAACAAAACTCTCGCAGTTGACTTTGGCGTCAGATGTTTGTAACATTGGCAAGAATGCGGTGCTGTTACCTTCAGAGAGTGATACATTTGTGCACACAGTCTCAGAAAAAAAAATTCAGGAGGACACTTAAAAGTTTTTACGTGATGGAATGCGACAGCATTCCTACATGGAGCGTATTCCTACAAGCACCGCGCCAAGTCTTCCCACCGCACACGGCGCTCCGGCGGTGACATCGCGCTCCCCGATTGCGCAGGCGTGACCAACTCTGCCGGCTCCACGTCTTCGGTGACGGTGCATCTGCGTTGCTGTGTTACTTTTCTTCGACTTCTTTTCTGAGGTGCTATTTTAACTGCCGTTTATTTAGATACCTGTTTTTCGCTGTCACAACCGACACCGGCTTTTCCATAATTCATAACGCATCTAAGTATACGATTAACTATCTGAAATAAATGTAGATAGGGGAGATGTCCAAAGAATTGAAGAGAATGTTTCAAGCGATTAAGCAAGCGAGTCACTTTGTGCTCGTTTTTTGGGCTCATGCGTATGGAGGGGACTATTCTCCTCTATTGGGTTGAAGGAACATACTGAACGAGGATGTAGTATTAGAATGTGCGCATCTTTTGTTTTTACATTTGGGTTTTTTTATTCGTAAATGTCACATTCGCGAGCTTGGATGAAAACCAGGTTCGATACTTGTGTTGTGCATGTTCCCCTCCAGAAATAACTCAATGTTGTTACTTGCTACTTCATCAAAAAGTTAGAAAAATATGCTATTCGTTCCTTTCACAAAACTAAATCAAATTCTTTTTAATGCCGAAAAAAGTAATTACACACATGTAAAACCCTACAAGCATCCAGTTACTCAAAAATTTGGATTTTGGCATAATCACAAGTTTCTTGGAACGTCACCTTTCGTATAACAGTGGCCTACATCGCTTGACAGTCTTCGTAGGAACACTAGGTATACAAAGTAAAGTATTTCCTATACGAGGCCTTGCAATAACCGAGGTCCAAATACGTCCCACGTTTTCAGTTTATCTGTCGATGACGTCTATATTCTTATCGTCTGCATTGACGCGCGATCCCCGGTATAAAAGGGACTATCACTTGTGCCGATTTTATACGCGAATCTCGTGCTCATAGGTATCAGAAATGACTCCCTACATCTTGCTTCTTCTGGCAATATGCTGCACCTCCAGAATCGTAAGTTTGCCTTATCTATTTCTTGTCTTCTCATACTATGGCTCCTAAGAATGTACAACATTTTTTTTCTTGGAAATGCTTATAATGAACGCTATATATATATTCTCACCAAATATTCTTAATATTCTCACCAAATAAATCAACCGATAAATATAAAATTAAAAATAAAAGTGTAATGAGGTGAACAGGCGCCTCAAACTAAAGCAAAAAAGAACCTACATTCTACGTTGGCGAAACAAGGGCGACTGTCCCGAAGGAGCGCGTTACTGCTGCTTTTGTACTTGCTGTATGATCAGGAAAGTTCTGAACCAGAACGCACGGTGTCAGCCGAGGAGAATCTGGAGCTGTACTGAAGAGCAAAGATGAGGAGAAAAAAATCCACTCAAACAGGGTTTGAACCCCATTCCACAGTGTGGCAGCCGTGTGCGCTGGCGACTGCGCCAAGCACGAGGCAGCATTGATTATCAGGCTTCAGTACTTTTGTTACCTCTTCTTTAGCTACCCTAAAATGATTCAATACATGACTTGTAGGTGTCGTCAGTCTTCCCTTCTTTCTGGTGGCCAGAAGCGCCTTGTTAACGCAGCGAAAGCTACGCTCTCATGCGCCCTTTTCCCCTAGTGGCAAGTCACATCTCTCTAATGCAGCTAAGGCCACCCTCTCAAGCGCCGTTTCCACCAATATATCTGATCAAGTCACGTCAGTGCAAGCTTTTTATAGACTTTTTGCATTCGGAGACAATGTGACACTTAAAGGTGTGTAAAGCTCAAATGGAACTGCTAACCATAACTCGCATGTCAGCTTACGATCATCTTCTTTGCTCAAAGTAGCAATATGGGGATCATTGAAGGGTAGAGTATTGATGCTATAGTTTTCGCGAAATAGAGTTTTTATTTACGAAAACGCGTATTATTTGCTTTTGCATAAATGCGTCTAATTCTGATGTTTAACTTCGCCCCACAGGTGCTTCAGGGCGCTGGTAAGCAGACGAATCCATGCCTCGTCCCCTCGTGAATAGCCGACTCACTAATAGGTCAGAAGTCCCAATGTCAGTTTTCTGAAAGAAAGATCACGCTAACGTCCTTTTCTCCAAAACTACAGCTATACAAAATGAGAGAAGAGACAACCTAAGGAAGGTGGTGAATGTTGTGGGCCATCTGTGCTCACAGTGAAGGCGCATCTAAACACTCAAAGGGACAGCGAACCCCCCAAAGTTTGTTTTTAAGTTCATTGATAGCACAAGTACTGTACTATCAAAGTTATTTCAGTCCAAATTTATATTTTAGTCTTCCAATTTAGGGTTTTAAAATCCCGAAGGCGTCAAGGTAGAAGCAAATTTTGTTGACAAGTGCCTGCCTATCTTGGCCTTAACTCGCCAAACAATCGCCAAAGTTGGGCTTCACTAGTGGTTCTTCGGTTCACAATTTCAGCTGAAATCTGACACCTTGCCAGTTACGTGATGAGCCAGAGAAACGGCAAAGGAACTAATTACGCCACTAACTTACGCCTTAGTGCAAAATCGTAGTAGGCCCAGGGTAGCCGTATCTCTGGCATAAAACTTTATATGTGTAATTAAAAAAAAAAAACAATCGTTAAAAAAAGGTTAACGCATTTTGTACATCCCGAGCCAAATTTTTGAATTAGAACCGACTGCGAAACAGGTTTTTATTTGAGACTTCTGAGCCTCGAGTTAGAAGCACGCCCCCCCCCCCCCCCCCCTCATTCCCAAACAAAAAAAGAAAATAAATTAACTCTCTGGGTGGGAAACGTCTGTCATGAAATAAAGAATCCCCCTAGAAATAATTCCAAAGTAATGTTTACACTATTTCTATTGTACTTAACAATGTACGCATATACAACCCCAAATTGCCTTTTTTCAGCGAATGTACGTTTTGTGGCATAACAGTTGCATTCGGCATACGGTTGTATGTGGGCACGAGCAAAAGAAACCTTTATCATATTGGCCTCATTAAAATAAATTTATTTTCGGAGTGCAGTAGATGAGCGATGAAGGTAAAGAAGGCGCATGGGACGGACACCAACCTGGCAGTGCGAAATGCACGATGTGTTCGAAGCTTCTGGAGAAACCTTGTAAAGTAAGCATTTGGGTTGGAGGCTGTATGAGTCAATACAAAGAACTTAGGCGGCAGAAAGTGGGTTGGTGAAAATGCAATTTTAGCAATAAATAAATAAAATAAAGGTTCCGAAAGAACTTAGATTTGAATTGTTTATCAGTGTTTTTACAACATGTTTGTAAGGCGTATACGTCTTAATGGTTGTCCAAACAGTACACTTCAAGATGCGACACTTGTCCACCATATGAAATGCAATATTCCTCTTTCGCCGTTTTATTTAATTTTTTTTTCGGGTAGAAAGCAGTTCTTTTAATGTCCACTCGTGTTCTTCACAAAGGCCTCGAGCATTGGGGTTTAAATTCAGTCAATCGCTGAAGGCCTCCGCTGCTGTGTTCAACAAGTCCCGAAAACGGCAAAAGGAAGGATACGAGGAATTCCTGCGGGGGGGGGGGGGGGGGGGAGGGGGAGGGGGAGGTCAGGGCGGGGACGGGTCGGCGGTAGAAAGATTGCGAGCCGCGGCAGAACAGGTGGACTGGCAACGGGCACACCAGGCACACCTTCGGCAGGTGGCGTGAGACTTCATATCTGGTGAGCACCGACGTCAAAGAAAGGCAAAGGAGGCGAGAAGGAAAGCCGTGGTGTTTTCCTGGTGGATGTCCGAAGAGGAGACAGACGATCGGACTTCAAATTTCACTTCCAATGCAGAAAAGTGTCGCTTAACGCATTCTGAAAGTATCATTGTTTGGACACACCTTTACAGTTCTCATACGCTTTAGCATTAATCAAGGCATCGAATCAGTGACGATATAACTCTGTCTATGTGCGATCCATGTTAGGAATTTAATTTAATAATCTAAAATTATGTTTTTGGAGGGTATGTTTGGTAGCACATGGCCAAGTTTTTGAGGTGACCCTATTAAGTAGAAATTTATACAATTTCGTTAAATTGAAGAAAAAATAATCCGCCGTCACCCTTTGTTTTAAATAGTGCCTCAAGCTGAGCTAGATACCTCAAGACAGAAGAGAAAAGGCGGCACTCCTTCTTTGACACCAAACAGAATGGTAAAGTTTAAAAAAAATATTTGCGGATATTTGATTATATATTTGTGTTATTTTTTTACCCAAATGAACACAACACTCTGTTCGCTGAGATGCCAAAACGTAGCAGCATCTGTTTACAAAACCAAATGGTTTATGAAGAAGCTGTACTGCGGGAATCGCTCGGATCGGTAGGACGCACGTTTAGTCATATCACTGAGAGACATTGCTTAGTTGAACGTTTTTACTGCGTCCAATGAACGTCACTTACGCTTCGCTTTCCTCGAGAACTATCATAAAAATTACGCCAGAGTGCGTGGTAATTTTTTGTTTCGTTTTTCTTGTGTGTTTCTTTACTTACCACGCAACCAACAGCGGCTAACCCACTCCTATTCGACCTCGAGGAAACAATTCAAGAGTTTGTGGACGCACTGCCGGTGAAGCACGGCGTCAAGGTGTCCTGGTGGGACATGTACGGGAACAACTCGGAACTCGAGTGGTTCAAGGTCAGAACACGAAAGTAAGTTGACAACACATTCATCTTGCATTTGTTGGTTTGATTCGTCTTACGTCTGTCTCTGTGTCTTTAAAGATAATTAATCAGGCATTTCGACACTCCGACGTTTAGATTTATTTTCACTAAAGCCAATACTTTTTAACGCACCCGAGCTCAGAGTATAAACTGAATAAGCTCGCGCTGCGGAACTTGGAGATCAAGACGATGCAGGGTGCCCATTTCTATCTGGAAGAACACCGTACCTGAGTGCGGTCGTGTATGCTACTGCCGTACCCTCTTCTATACTTACAAAACCTGGCAGTTCGACGACGGAGCCATAGAGTGCGCGGTCGCAAATTCGGAGCGCGAGGATCTTGTTGCAACGAGCATCAAAGAGCAATTTCTCGGGGAGCCTTGACGTCAGCGCACAGCTTTTGAAGCGGCGAGGACCCGAAACACACTTGGTCGCTCGGGAGAAGTGTGTTTCTGCGTCTCGCAGCAGCGGGGTGCCAGTCACTTGTCTGTCCTTTCATCCGTTGTCTGCCGCTCCACCTTTTCCATTTGGGCGGCCATTTCTCGTGGCGATTTGCCAGACTTTGTCAGCATATAGAAGGCTATGCTACTGCCTAAAGCACCTGTATTGCTAGTTACATAATGCCGCCAGTCGTAGTTCACTGCCTAAATCTATCTGATGCAACAGTGACACCAGACACCCACCGGGGCTGACTAACTTGCCGCTGTGTAACGGCACATTAACGTTTACATCGATATAGCTTTAATTCGGGTGTCCCCCCTCCCCATTGAAATGATAGTGTAGGGCGGAGCATATCGTCCGTTCCGTGACATCATGGTCTCATGTCACGACAGGTCATATGATGTCGGAGTCACGGGTCGTTACGAGGTGCCACGGTGTCACTTCACGCGATGATGTCACATGAGGCCATTATGTCACGTCGGGTCCGCACTGGGCACCGCGATGTCACGTGACGCCATGAGATCACGTGACCTTATGACGCCATGTGACATCACGCACACCCACACACTCTCACACACACACACACACACGCACACACACACACACACACGCGCACACACACACACATACACACAGCAACACGCCCCGTTCTCCAAGGAAAAACAACAGCAGTAAAAAAGAGACTGGATTTGGAATCCGCTGTGTTTCTCATTAAACACAATTGCGCACTTGACGGTTTGAGCAATCGAAATAAAGCAGCAATTTCGGGAGAATGGCATCACCAGTGTCACTCTCCGAGCGGACATTCGTGATGGCTATTCCACGCAAGGTGCCTTCAACGGCAGAAAAAGCGAAGCGCGAAGCCTCACTCGCCGCTGTAGCGAGAACGTCGGGCTTATACATCAGTGAAGAGATACATTAGGGTCTGACTAGATGTCGCTGGATTCACACAGGTCTAATTTTTTTTATTTGTATCAGATTTATTTAACTGACGAGGCACCGCTCGGAAGCTCCTCAGAAATTTTCCAATGTAAAATGCGAACTGAAAATAACTACAGTGCTCATGTTGGAAGTTCGCCTAATTGTTCCGCAAAAGACTAAAATAAAAAAAAAAAGCTCGATAGGCTTTTTACAATTGTTGCAAACGGACGTTGATAATTAAATCAGAAAGTCCTTATTAGGCGGCGAGCTTAATCGTTGGGACGTTGTAGTAATCTTAAGAACCTTCGGACCGTATTTAAATAAGCCGATCTCACAACACGTTCGCCGCATTCGTGACGCTTTAGTTCACAGGAGGTAGACAGAAGTGAACGAGAGGTTTCGTGCCCTCTTACGATCTACACGTTGTTGCGAGGTTGTTGCGCGTCTACGAAAGACTAATGTTCCATCGATTCCTTGCTGTGGCGGTGGCGTAGTCAATCTTATTGGTGAGATCGGCCTATGGTTAACACCTTAAAGGATTGGTTTTTATAGACCGACACGCGGAGCGGCTCTGTTTACCAACACGGCCGGAAGGCCGCGCATGCGCGGTAGTTATGTGGGCAAAATCAGCCCGGCTCTCCGTGTTTTCACCATTGCGTTCTATGGCGTGCGCTCCTTGTTGACGTTGTAGGGACACTTGTATCCCTATTTGTGCATCGTATTTCCTGACAACGTATGTCATGCTGTGCCCGACTATTTGAGCTCGCTGCCGAGCCTGAACGGCAGCGGTATCGAAACAAACTGTGCGTGGACGGCGTTGCCTACGAGGATCCGTACGCCGTAAACAAGGCCTGCTGGACTTCCGACGTAAGTTGCTGCCACCGAAGTCGACGGCTCACGTCGTCGTTTATTTAGTTTTTTTCGCCAAACCAGTTCGCGGCCGACACGGTGCAGGCGTACAAGTCTCTCGATGCCTGCGATTACGTCGAGTCGGTTTCCGCACTGCCGGCAGGATCAGCAGACTGTGGGTCTGCGGAACTGTATTCATTAATTGATTAAATACACAAAGCGTCTTGAAGTCAAGCTATGATACTTTTCCTACCCTCATGACCACAAAGCATGCCAAGCAGTAACGCTTTGTCCGTTCTGAAGTCTTGGTGGTAACACGTTACAAGTAACGGTGTTGCCGGTAACGCGTTACTTTTTTCAGTAACGTAGTTACCTACTCATTATGTTTTCGACACAGTAACGGGTAACATACTTACGTTACTATTTCAAGTAACGCAGTTACGTTACTCGTTACTACTTCCCGAGTATTAAAGAAATTACACTTCATTTTTTTCCATGTTTTAGGCGTCAAGCCATGTTTTTCTTTGCGTTTTTTCTCGTGAGTATTTAGGTGACACCGTAAAGAGATAAAGTAATTATGTTCAGTTTCTGCATGAACATAATGTTTCTTGATAATGACCTGTATCGTCAAAGCCGTAAATTGTATTAAATCATAATTTAAAAAAAGTAACGCAGAGTAACGTGCGTTACTTCTTATCGGTAGCGGTAACGCGTTCCTTTTATTTTTAGGTAACGTAGCTCAGTAACGCGTACCTCTATTTGCAAGTAACGAGTAACGTATATCGTTACTTTTTTACGGTAACACCTACAACACTGCCGTTCTGCCGCCGATCCCCTTCTGCTTGGTAGCACGGGCGTAGCGAGCCTCCGACGAGCCCTTCGGTCCGATGCTTTGTGCGCGAACACCATGGGAACAAAATCCGGGTGGCCTCGACCAGACAACGGTTTTCCTGCACATAAGTAAGCCTCGGGACGGATATTGAAATGGAATCCGCACTTGGGCCTTCAAGAAAGTGTTTTCCGCACAAACGGTCGTTCGCGCGAGGCGACCATTTTTTTCTATCCACGGATATTATCCACCTTCCATGCCTTTCAGAGTCTGCCGGGAACTTGTGGAAACTCACCCCGCTGCTTTTCTTGTACCTTTCGGTGCAATTAACGGCAACATAGCTTCGCGGCATGCTGAAATGCTACGACGCCCATGCGAAACGTGCGCGCTTTTGCCCACACCACCCGGCTCCGGCGCGATCGCAGCGCCGCCGCAGCTCCGTGACGCCAAGCCCGCGTGTCGGTCTATATGTTGGTCTTTTGTACCGCATGACCTTTCCTGCAAGGGTACAATCTCGAGCTCCCGAATACTCCCTTTTGGGAGAGAATCGAACTATACAAGGCGCTTTGTCCGGCTGCTTTCCAGCACTACATGGTGTTTAGTTTATCCAACGAAAGGCCTGTAGATCGAATCCTTGACGTCATCTTCTCGATCAAACTCGGAATGCAAATTGAAAAATAATGCTCTGTCAGCTTTCAGCTTCCACTCGTGTACTTCGGTTCACCTGAAGTTCAGACGCAGCCGAAGCTGCGAGCTGGTGGGACTAATCAGACATAATGCCCCTTCATACAAAAAAATAGCGACAACCTATGAAGAATTCTGCCTGATATCTTGGGCCGTTCCAGGCTGCGCTACCGTGGACGCACGAGCGCGAAAAGCAAAATATAACAATAAGAGTGTGCATGAAGGGCGAGGAGGGAAAAGGAATGCCTATGATGTCAGAGTGCAGTGCACGATATGAGTTCAGTGTCGCCAATCAAATTGCACCGACTGTGCAATGTCGCGACATTCATCGTCTTTATTCGAGCACATCCTTCGAGTCTAGTAGACCATGACAGTGCTCTTTTAGCCTGTGTGTATGTATCAGCGTGTCTTTCAGCCTTTGACTGCCCTCTGACTCAAGTATAGGAAAGTCGTCTGCTTTCTTGGGCGTATCCAGGTGGCGCTGCAGTCGACACGCGGGTGTAAAAAAGCAAAACATAAAAATAAAAGGTGTGCGCGTCAGAGAAGGAGGGAGGAGATGTCGCTACCTTTTTTATTCAAGGACAGGGTTGCCAGGTTGGGCTATAATTAGCCAAATTGGGCTAGTTTTATTTGAAGTTGGCGGTAAAAGGTGGTAGTTGGCTAGTATTGGGCTATTTCTGATCTGTGCTGGGCACACCGAAATGACTCAAAGCACATGGGTTTATAGGCTGAAATATGGTATTTCTAGAATAAGTTACGTGAACATTTGGCGCTTCAGTCTTTTAACTCTGATAAGTATGCGACAGCAAGCGAATTCGTCAGCTCTTTGCGCACACTGTGCAATGGACCTTTTCCATATACCGACGGCACCAGGCGGTGGCTGCGCGAACTAAAAAATCGAGGAAGTGACCTGCGCTACCAATCAATAATGGGAGCTACGTTACCAGTTGCTTCGCTCTCTGAGCAGCGTCGCGTGCCCAATGCAACGAGGTAGGCCTAGCGCGACTTTAAAGAAGGAAATCCGTAGCGTCCACCCAAACGTCGTGTTTTTCTTTCCGTCCACTTTCTTTTTTTGTGTAACATAATTATATATATGCTGCAATTACGTGTTCTACTCGTCGATTTACAGCCTCATTCCGAATTTCCTCGATTTTTTCGTGCCGACTTCCACCGCTTGGCATCGGGCGCTCGCGCGTGCGCAGAACGCTTCTCGGAAAAGGTCCATTGTTTACGCTTGAATCTTGTCCAAATGCGAGCGTGTGCTGTTACTTCTCCATCTCAATCAGTGACGGCGCAATTCCTTGCGGCCCCACCAGCATCCGTTCTGGGCACTCTTTAGGTTGCCTGTTGATTGGCGTGGACCTATACCTTGTGTTTAGTTCTGCATAATTTTCCCGTGACGTCATCGAGGTCGCGGTGCCCCGATACTAAGCGTCCCATTAATACAGTAGAAGGTATGTTGTCATGCGCTTGTAAGAGCGTTTCAGAAAGTTCGCCGAACGTGCAAGGGACGCCGTTTTTGAGATATTTCGGCATCGTTGCAGAGCACACAACACGGTGCTCATTTTTTGTGTTCGAAAATCCTTGACACTGGGAACAGAGAAAAACAGGCCGGCACGTGTCCCGTTTTGTCCGTAGTGATGTACCCAATCTCTACCATTGGTTCTTCGAGCTAGTGATGCTAGTGGTGTGAATATTTCTATTTGATATATAAAAACTTATTATGTGTCTCTTATGTTTAAAACAAGCGTTTCAAATGGTCAATTTTTTGTGGCAATTTTGGGCTATTTTTTTTTAAACATCATTTGGCTATTTTTGGGCTATATCTCGGAGAAATTTGGCCGGTCAGAATACAAACACCTGGCAACCCTGTTCAGGTACATTAATCAGACACCGTCAAAAGCGCGCATTGGTGCTGTTTATCGTGTTTCTGTACGTGTTTTATCATGGCTGAACCAATCACAAACAAAATGCACCCAGTGTGTTTCGCTTTTGACGTTGCTTGGCTGGCCTCATGAGCTCATAGCGTAGGCTGCGTTTGGGATTGAGGTGAAACGAAGTTTTGTGAAAACGTGCTTCACTGACTCAACGAGATCCTCAGATGAACACTGTCGCAAATTCAGCCGGGCGACGGGTAGATAAGTCCAACAAATACTTCATGTTGTTTATGTCACCATGGGTTTAATTGTGAACTCAGTCTCTGCGGACGCGACACTTACATCTTTTCACCTTTGAATACGGTCTATTTGAAATGATGGAGGTTGCCAGACTTCTTTTTTTCGCGTTTGACAGAAATATCCTGTGTTCATTGAAAGTAATAGCGCGGAGGTTTACCTGAATATTTAGAAATGGCTTTTATACTGATTTTACTTTAATTAAAAGTACACCCTTGACCACCTGCAACTTATTCACACATTGCTCCGTGTCATGTTGCAGCAACAAGATACTCGTCCAAGCGAGTCCCATCAAGTATGGTGAGACGAAGATCAATTCACTCCAACCAAAGGTGATCTATACGAACTGGGTCCACAATGAACAGCCCTTCAACTCAATGACAACCACGGTGAAGAGGTCCACGATGCACAACACGACGCACTCGCTCAGCACTGAGAGGGCGTTCAATTGCGGCTTTGAGTTATCCGTCAACGCCAAGCTCAACAAATCTGTGGGCATCCCTGCCAACGCGTTCACAAAATTCAATCTGACAAACCTCAACAGCGAATCTCACACTGAGACCGAGAAGTACTCCGTCAAGCAGGTCGTCACTGTGCCGCCACTGAGATCCGTGAAGATCGAGTGGCTGATCACCGACGTTTTCAGGGTGCGTGCACAAAGATTGAGAGTTGTCGCGTAGTTTCTGGTCAGCTTTGCCTACCGTTTATATCACTATGGTCACTGAATGAATGAGAACAGCTGGGCATCTCCATCAGATGCCCGGCGTTCAGCTAGCTCTCATTGACTTTCGTCGTGATTGGGCTGTTCATCCACGATCGAGCCCTCATAAAAGATATTCATCCACTTTATACATTATATTTACAGAAAATTATGTATGGTGGTTATATATATCAAGAAAATTAATCCATTTTTTATGCACTGTCTCTATCGTTTGAAATTCCTATAGATCTTAGTGTATAGAGATAGGATATATAAATTGTATAGAACGCGGATAGAGATTCCAACGACAACGAATGACGAACGCCGATAGGTCAGTTTTTGCAACAAAAAACAAAAACATATTTTCAAAATTCATTTGAGGTTTGGAATAATATATCCATAGAAACATGCACTGGTGTTTGCGGTGTGCAAACACGCAGGTATCACAAATACGCATGGCACGTATTGCTCACAACACTATTGATTTGGTGTTTTACGCAGCTCCACCCTGATATGTACCCTCAACTTTAAAGTCATTCATTTGACCGACGACCATCCCAGAATGTAAAAACAGATTAGAAGTAGGTCGCTCTTTTCTTTCGCCAATAATTTATACGGAAAGGAGTTTATAAGCGTGGGTGAACTGCACGTACAACTATAAAGCATTGCGAAAGGTAATAAATATTTGCTTCAGTCAAAACAAAAAGAGCCTCTGCAAGAAGACTCCAGCTGGGTATGATGTCGCTTAACCGCACCCCATTTTATTATTCTATCAAATTTAGTCTATAACGTTTTTGATAATATATGACGGTAAGTCTATTTAGACGTGACAATAGACATTCTACAAAGACTTCTAACATCTGTGCTGGATAGATTTCGTTTGTAAATAAGCCTATAGAAAGTCTAATAAATTTTCTATACGACACGACTAGATAGGATGTTGAAAAAGTCGTTAAATTTTAGATATGATTTCTCGCCACTTCCAAAATTAGTGTTTGTAAGGGAGGTTTAGGAGACGCCCAAGCGTTATCGAAAAAACCCGAAGCTTCACGCCGGAGGCGGGACGACTGGACGACCTGCGTGCCGTCCTCATCGTGTTGGTGACAATCATCCTGTGTTGGACAAAATACTCGACAAAAGTATTTAAGTTAAGTTACTAAATACCTGCGTCATAAAGTATTTAAAATACTACTCAAGCTACTTTCACTGTAAAGTATCTTGAGTAGGGTACAAATACTTAGACTTGCATTTCAGCTACTTTTGAAGATACTTCCGCATTGCTTAGTTTGTATCGAAGTCATTGACAACGACAATTATGCAGTTACGCAAATCTAAGTTATCAGAATGGTTTATTAGCACGCAACAACACAAAACGGAAAAAAAATACCGTAGGGCTATTTTATGCAGTCCGACTATAAAGAGCAAAATATGCCAACGAATTATAAATGATGAGGCGGCGAATAACTGAAGAAACTAAACGTTTAATGGGGCGAACTTGTTCCCAAAACAAAAGAGAGAAAGGCTAGCGTCGCGGGCGTCGATGTCGGCGAAACAGCAGGATCAACCGCTGGGGCGAGACTGACTCCTGACCGCCACTCGGAGCACCTTTTGGTACCGCGTACGTTTCTGGAACATTCGGCGTAGAAAGTTCGGCGCGTAGAACATTCGTAACTCGGACAGACGACAAAAATTCTCGAACTTACCAGAATGTCAAGTTGAAGAAATAAATAAAAGAGACGTCCGCTTTCTGGTATCGAACCCGGAGATTCCGCGCGAGAGCCAGGCGCGGTAACCATTGGGCGACGCGCTCCCTGGGCAACGCACGTAGCAATATGACTGATACATGTTACAAAACATTTCTAGGACAACAAGAAAGAGGCCGCTTTAGCTATTGGGGAGGAGATCAGACCGTGGCGCCCCAAGCTATTAACTTTAGAAGTAGATCGATGGGGAAAACAAATAGAACGGCTCAGCGCTCGGCTGACTTAACCGAACGCGGCCTCAACGTTCGGCATGAGTTCGTGTTCTCCGTTGAGGGGAAGGAGGGGGCTCTTTTGTTCCCACTCGGGCCTGCATGAACAATGCAGCGTGCACCTACACAGCTCAGCACAAAAGCCCAAGTGGGTCAAGTTCGCATCCTCTGACGACGGCTTTCGGGTGAGATACGGCATATAACGTCACTTCACTAATTGTTGGTATATTTTCATTACACGATGCCCCGCGCTCTATTAAAAAAATATGACACGAACATGCCCACAAGACCTGTGGGCATGTGCAGAGGCCTTGTGTTGGGTAAACACCGAGGTGTGGGGGTGACAAACGGGTGAGAGCGCTTCGCCTATAGTGACATCCCTGAATATCGCATCCTGCGGCGCACCTTAGACGCGTCGTTTAAGTACAATCCATATTCCATATACTTCACTATAAACAAACTTAGGACACGGATATGAGTGAATGGATAACAAAGAGAACACACCTAATAGCCACGGCAGTGGTCGCACCTTCTTCAAATAGGTTGCGTTCAGAAAAGCACTCAACGTTGGGGGACACTTTGTTGGCATTTTGAGAGGTCACCGAGCTCCTATTTCGTTTCCTGTACTGTTCTCTGCTTATCAATGTTCACTTACAGACAGTGTTCGCGAGAGCAGTAAGTGTCGAACTGACAACACAAAAAAAACAAAAAAAAAACTCGATGTTTTGCCTTAGCGGGGTCAAATATACAAAAACAAAACAAAAATGTCCACTTTTTTGTGTGTGGTCAGTTCTCATTTCCTTCTGTTTGTTATTTCTTGACACTTAAGTCTGCACTGTTTTCGTAGGTCGTTTCCCGGTCTGCTTGCGCCTCAGCGTGGCATCTTTACTTTCGTAACGATGTCTTTGGTTTGAGGATTTCTTTGGGGGAAACTTTATAGAAACAAAAAGGGCTTTTGGAAGGCGAGGGGAAAACTTTCATTTTACGAACTTTGGGCTGAAATATGGGTCACAGTCGGCAAAAAAGCGATATTTTCACGAGCTGAGTTAAAGTCACCGTAGCCAATTGGAGCTAGCAACAGGATTCGGTTGCTCGAAAGAATGTTTACGTTTGCCCGTGCCGCTCGCACCCCACTTCATACCAAAAAACCCGGAAAATCGCGGAATGTCAGAGATGTATTTAAGATAATTAGTACAAGATACTCGGAATTGTAATTAAAATAGAGTATTAAATACTCTCCATTAAAGGCATTTGCAAGATAGCAAGATACCCCAAAAAGTATTTAAGAAACAGTATCTTGGAGTGGAGTATTTGAGACAGGCACAAGTCTGCAATCGTCAGTTGATGCTAGGGTAGGATTAAGAATAACAGCTAATCGAACAGCCTTAGTTTATTAAAAGTGCCGGGGAGGTACAAGAACTCCGCCGTGTCCTGTGCAATATTTTTACTCGCTACTAATACAAACGAATGACAGCATGGAGGGGGATTTTGCATAGAGCTTACAGTTATTTCATAAAATACTCTTATTTCTGGTATTTCATAGTGATGTCAGTGTATCATTTGCTCAGTCCATTTTCTACTTGTGTGTTGCACAAAACCCGACACACGCGCAAACAAAGAATGATTTTTTATTTTTTTATTTTTTTCAACTTGAACGGTCGTATTGAAAACCGGAAAGGTATAGAAATGTTCTTAAGTTAGGCGCGAGGGTGTGAAGCAAACCTTGGTGTTGAACACTTGCATATAAAAAAATATTCAGATAGTTGCCGACGTCTTGTTAAGCTAACTGTATGGCAAGGTGTGCAACAGCTGTCGCGTTCCATATCGGTTTGCTAGTCACTAGGCTCCGAAAGCTTAAACAAAACATTATTATCATCATTATTATACCCTGCCGCATCATATATCCATATGCTCCGGGATCAACGAAGGTCCAGGAATATGAAAATAAGCACAGCCCATATAAAGTAAATAGGAGACTAATTTGACAAAATGCCATGCCGGGAATGCAGCTGAAGTTACCCCTCCCCCCCCCCCTCTTTCCCCAAAAGAAAAAAAACAAGAAAAACTGTTCCTGCCAAATTTTGTATTTCCACAAGCTCGGGGTATTAACCTATTATATCCAGAGCTTTTCCAAATGTGTTACCGGCGAAAACATGCATGCCCCGTGGCTTGCATCAGGAATTGCGTATCAGGGGTGTTTAGCAAAGTAACAAATAGTGTTTGTTTCGAATCCTTCCAAATTATGGCTCCTAAAAGCATGTTCGCAAAGACAAAGTTAAATGCTGCGCCTAATCGGCTGGTTTCATATAGAAGAAATGTCGAGAGGACGCCGTGTAACCGATTTTTATGTCGAATGACAAAAGAAAGTGGTTGTTATTGATCCTCAATCCTTCGCTGGGACTGGTCAGGTAACCTTTGTCGTTTTGGTAATAAAACTTTGAATTTGATTTTAGACATACTAGCGAGATTATAATGATGTAAACAAATGAAATGTTTTTGTTTTTGTTTTAATAGAGATAATTCGGAAAGTTTTATCCAAAAAATGAATTCGCTTTAACTTTTTCCCCCATACTGTCCCAGAAAGGTTGATCGAAACAGAGCGTGGAGACTCCCGAGTTGTCTGAAGATTGCTTCGCATCTAGTAAGACTGCGGCACTCGCCAATATCAATGCCTAGGGACGAATCACCAAGGAAGAATCATAACTGGCACTGCGTCCCTAAAGCTGTTCATGTCTATATTTTACAATGTCTTCTTCCAGGAAATCCCTTGGACGGCCGACATCACAGTGACCGGATGGTTCGCGGTTCGATACGAGAGGCGAGTCAATGGGGCATTCCTGTGGTACTACCACGTGACAAAACTGCGGGATCCGCTCTTTAAGCGCGTCGGACGGGGCGTGATGCAGTTCACCACCAATGGAACCTTCTCGAGCGTCTACGGCGTCGACGCTCACCTCAGAGTGTCCGAATACGCGCTCATGGACAAGAACGGGGAACCCTTGGTAATCACCAACCGCACACTACCTTTGAAAGCAGGCCAAGGAAACGTCACTGCCCTTTAATAAATTGTTCTTTTTTGTGAAAAGTCCACGACGCTTATCTTTTGAGTCTTGGACAAGTTATTCAACGCATGACGTGGCTTTTACAGTGGTAGCGCCCCCCCCCCCCCCCTTTGTGGGCATGATGTTGAGCGTTTGTCGTCAATGTCGTCAAGCGACACCGTGTCGTCATAAAGTCCCGGGACGTCATTACGTTGTATGACGTCATTACGTTGTATGACGTCACGGTGTAACGTAACATTGGTGTGTTTACTTGGAGTCACATCGCCACGTAGTCATGACTTGTCACGTGACTCTATGACTTCACGCTGTCAAGTGACATCGTAGTGTCACTTGACGTAAAGATGTCACGTGATGGTACAACAACTGATGAGGTCAAGATTGTTGTGATTTGATGTGACTTCATCATGTTCGCGATATCATGATGTCAGCAGCATGCTGATATTTAGCCAGTGTCGTACCATTGTCGCCCATAAATCGGTCCAAATACCGGCCGAATGTCCAGCTAAAGTTGAGGCTTGGGTGAGTTGGTATATCCTTCGGAACTAGAAACAGCGCGGAAAGACGAGGAGCACACAAAGAAGTGACAGGGACGTAGCGCTGTTGTGATACATCACAAATAAAAATAAAACAATAATAAATAAATAAATAAATATATATATATATATATATATATATATATATATATATATATATATATATATATATATATATATATATATATATATATATATATATATATATATATATGCGCCATGACACAGCCGTACAGAGTACGTGCTAAAAAACAAGCAAGTCGGCGAACCAGAAAATTCATCTCTTTGCCTGATAGGGCCACAGAAGGACTGCTTAGGCATGCTGCACCCACCCTCGCTATCTCAACAGCCTCTAGAATTTCCCGAGTAAGCTGGTCCCTATGACGCTTAACAACCTCACACCGTTGGAAGTCGGGTAGGCAACCACAGTCGCGGCAATGAATGCCCAGATGATCAGACACGGTTGTGGAGACACGAAGCGTGCTCTCTTAACCTGTCATTGAGACAGCGCCCCTCTGGCCTACGTGGCGCCTGCCACACGTCAGAGGGAGAGAATAAACAACCCCCCAGAATACGAGACGAAGCGATCTCGATGCCTCGTACTGCAAGCCGTGGCCGCCCTCGAAGAAGGGTTAAAAGCTCTGAACAACCTGGACAACTTCTCCGGGGCAGAGAATAAAACGTCGACGTCACACCTGCCAGCAATGCGTTTTAGGTTGTGGAACAAGCCGTGGGTATGTACGGAATGACCACAAGCTTTCTTCTTTCCCTTCCCTTTCTGTTATTGGCCTCTTCTTCACTTGTCATAGGCCTGCTCTTGATATCTCTCAGCAAAGACTTGGCTACCGTTGTTAACACGTGGGAGGGAAATCCAGCATTTCATAGGCGTTCAGTTTGCCTGTCAAAGCTATGTTTAATTTTATGACAATAAGACCTACGCAGCGCATGTATATAGCGAGTCCTTGCAATCGCCCGCTTGACAGTTTTGGAGTGCGAAGGGCACCAATGGCTTTCCAGCACGGTGTTCATAGCTTCAACAAACATGACCTGGACAAATAGTTAAATTCAAATCCAAAAAACGGATGCATCCTGCCTCAGGCACTTCATGAGTCAGAATAAGTGGCGAAAGGCAATCACTAAAAATGCCTAAAACTTGGATCATTGACGAAAGAAAGGATAAGGCATCGGCATAAAACAAAATAAAAAAAATCATCTACATACCAGAAGACCTTTTTCAACTTTGGTTCCCCCAAGCCGTTCAAAGATTATTCGGTCAAGGCTCGCTAAAAACCAGTCGCTAAGCACGGGGGCAATGCAAGAACCAATACATACCCCTTGCCGTTGCAAATAGATGTTACCCTCCCAAGTCGCAAAGGTAGGCCTCAGATACATATGAAGGAGCTCCATGAAGCCTTCAACTGAAAGTCCCGCGGTATTTTGAAAGGCAACTGCACCAAACACATCTATGCAGTCACGAATGCAGGTAAGGAGTTAAATATGTGGCAAGGAGTGATACAAATCCTTAATATCGAACGAACAGGCCATAAAGCTAGTGCGCTTTATTTCATTATGTGGCAAGGAGTAATAAAAATCCTTAATATCGAACGAACAGGCCATAAAGCTAGTGTCTTTAAGAAAAGAAATGACATTATCGGAAATCTTCACGAGAAAAGGATCGTGAATTAAACAGCTTCAAAAGTTTTTGCAGGAACAAGCCAACCGACTTCTGCCAAGTACCAGCCTCCGAAACAATGACACGCAAAGGGCAATCTACCTTGTGCGTCTTTGCTGCAAAGAAAAGCTCCAAACTAAGCTGTTTTCCAGCGTCAATTTTTCTTGACCAGCTGTTCGAGGTTTAGCCTCTTACACAGTTTTTTCGCCTCATATCTTTGCTTAGTTAGGGAAACGCTGTCCTTAGGCAGGAACACAGACGAAATAGCCACAAGTGCCTTGGATTTATAAAGGTCAACTGGAAGGATGAGGAACCCCCCTTCTTTATCTGAGGCTAATAAAGACAAAACGTTATCTTTCAAAAAGGTTGACACCCTCTTAACCGGGATCTTGCTAGCGCCAGGCGTGCGTCTGGTGAACACATCCAGTCCCTCCGAGACGCACCTCTCGGCCTCCGCTTCCGGAACTTTCCAGGCAACATCCCGGACAAGGCTCAGAAGTTCCGTCTGCGATTTCTTCAGCTCCACGGCAAACTTTGGACCCCGGTCCAAAACACGACGGATGCTCTCAGGCAAAGGAGACCTGACCCAGTGTGTGGACGGTGGACCTGCTTGGAGCAGCCTTCTTGGGAGCCAAAGCTCGTAGCTCCAAAAGCATGTGTCGCCAATGGTACTCAGCAGTAGCATCAGCGAGTTCGCGGTACTCACGCCACCTCCTGCCTCCGTGACCGTTGGAATTCGTGCCTTGAAGCATGAGAAGGAGAATCTCCCTGTAGAAGCGGGCCTGTCGATGCCTTTCCGAACTGAGGACCTTGCACATCCTGACTCCGTGCCCGTGCGAGGGTTGGAAGCCGCCGAAGAGTAGGATTATCTCTGGAGGAAGCTGACGGTGGCGAACGTGAAATGAGAATCTTCGTGCGTTGCAGACGGCGAGGGCGTAGATGGCGACGATGAAACAAGGCTGAACAGTGAAACAATTAAAAAGGCCCATTGTACTAGAAATGAACGATGCTAAAGTTAAGGCCTGGGCAAGTTGGTACATACTTCGGAATTAAAAACAGCCCGGAAAGACGAGGACCAGACAAAGCAGTGACACGGACGTAGCGCTGTACGCGCAGCGCTACGTCCGTGTCACTTCTTTGTCAGGTCCTCGTCTTTCCGCGCTGTTTTTAATTCCGAACGAATGTCCAGGCTTGCAGTATAGCCTCATATCAGGCAGATATTGGCGAAACGTCGTTTCGGCACCGGCCTAGTATCGGCCCGATATCGTGCGAGTACTTTACGTAACTTCGAATCGACCGGTCACTCAGGTATCGACCGGACGCTGCAAACACGACTTCTTTGCATAGGCCGTTGAATACAAGTCGTTTCAAATCACATTCTAAAATAGGGGTAAATGCTTACATCTCCTGTCCCATATAGGAAACCACCAGAGGATTGATAGACAAGTGGTACAACTTATTAAAGTAGAATGTGCGTGCTACTTACTACAAAAAATTAAGGTTTTCTTGACCCAGTTACAATACTTCCGTGTGTATTTTTCTGTAGTATTTTATAAGTAATTAGCTGTTTTATGAGATATATCGCACGTTATCACGCCTTTTTAAAAGCTGGGGCCGTTCGTTCGACGTCAGTGCGCTGTAAGCCGAATTGAAGTTTTGTGGTGCATCATATTGGACAAAAGGGTTTAAGGCCACACCTTTTTGTTTCGAGGGCACTCGCAAATACGGATAAACGAATTCGCTCTCTATCTCAACGAGAGGTTTATAACACCTCTGTCATTACTCAGTCTTTTCTCGACAGATTTTCAAAAGTAATGTTTTTTCTTCAACGTGAAATACATTAATAAATACAAATACACCAATATCAAGCCAAGCAAAACTCCTAAATCAAACACGAAGGAGCGCGGAGATTGAGAGGGAAGCAGGAATGCCTTCAACAGGCATGTTTGCAGCGTACTTAGAAAGAAACCGGCAAACTTCTGTAATCCGTGATATTTTCATAAGCCGCCTCAGCAGAACAAAACAACTCCAAATAGGTCGAAAATGATGAAGGTCGTCTACACTCAACAAAAATCTCGCTGGCGACTATGAGCAGTTCGTCCTCAAGGCACGTCCATATAAAACAAAACGGCCAATATCGCAAAGCGTTCAAAATTCCTTGGATCCTGGTGGTTTTGTGCAGTAAGCTTGCATTTGAAGAGACGGAGTTGTAAAGCGCAACATATTTTATATCGCGCGCCTATTTTGAAGAGCCGCAATTTAAAATGGTGAACGCAGCTGGGGCTTGAAGTTCAAGCAAATTGGCGTGAACGGAATTTCGTTTACGTCGAAAAAGCACTGTCGCGACTGCAACGCATGAAAGCAAGAGAACACTAAAAAAAGGCGTGCCGAAGACCGCTACGTTGTCTCTCTACTTTTACCAAAACTTGGAAAAAGGCGAAGGCAATGGTCCCAGCCCAGACGCGACAAAGTGAGTCACGTGGCAAATTTTCGTTCAAGCTCTCTTGTCATGCGAAGAGTAGTCACGTGCGTCGCTCCTCCCCCCCCCCCCCCCGATTTTCTTAAAGCCAGCGTCACATTCGCTGAGTACCACACGAAGACAAAAAGGAAGGTAGGGTGCAGTAAAGAAAGCGTGGTCAGAGAGGGATCAACGAATCAGCTAAACTTCCTCCGCCTGATTTGTCTGCCCCTCTCGGATAAACAGAAAGCGCATGCTATTTTTCATGCTCTTTTTATTTATTTCTTTGAACATTGGCGTTGAGGAGGACAGAGAATGGGAACACCTCGCCATTACAGCCGATTAACGAGATACACTCAATTG